GCAAGAACAAATGACTGGGGATACCGAAAAGCAGGTGGAACCACTTACTGCCGTTAACAGATGAAATTCGTGCCCAATTAAAAATTGTCTAATTTAATAACAAAAGGAATAACTAGATTCACTAAAGGATTTTAATTAAATACATCTGACTTATCTTACACTAACAAAACAACAGGCTACTTGTTGTTTTACTATGATGCCAGTTGCTAAAAGCTAATAAACACATGATTTTTCCTATATCAAACTACTGCATTAATTGGGCAACATCTTTCTTCAATGACTAAGCCTTATTACAATGAAATAGACATTATTAAAAACTGTCAGGACATAAGAGTTGCACTCACTTCTTTTAAAAGAATGATTCAAGGAACATACGTCTCTATCTGATTTACCAAAACTAACCTTCTTCCAAAAGGAAAACTAAAACTGAAATAGCAGCAGGTTAAAATGGCTGATTTGGGAAAACAGAAAATAGTTGTTTGGAATCCTCCTTTTTTAAAAAAAAAAAAAAAAAGGAAAGAAAGAAAAAAAGAGGGGCGGGGAGAGAGGCAGGGGAGAGAGAAATAATGAGCTCAAAAGCATTGACTTGAGTGGCAGAAATAACCTAGAAGTCTTAACAAAAGGCCATCAACATCACCAACTATGTTCCGATATGGACAGAGCTGCTGCCATACACATTCTCTATGGACAGAGAAGAACATATCTATTATAAACCTTAAGCCTGGAGTACGACACATGAAATACCTTTTTATGTTTCTTCCATTAATGTTTCTTCCTCTGTCAGTGCAAAAAAAAGTATATACCCTGTTCACCACCATTTACAGTCTTACCTTCCTTGACACGATAAAGCATCGTCAGTGTTTCATCACTGGTCAGAGCAGTAACATGCAGGTTATTTACTGTCGGCACTTGGTCAGCAAGAGCTGTCAGTTCATGAAAATGTGTGGCAAACATACAGAAAGCACAGATTTTGGTAGCGATGTATTCTGAAATAGCCCACGCCAAGCCAAAGCCATCGTAGGTGGAAGTTCCTCTTCCCAGCTCATCAATGATTATCAGGGAGTTTTCAGATGCCGTCCTAAAAACACAAGAACATTTTATAGAGTTTGAGAACAGCATGAACTCTGGACATTGACGTACCAAAAGTTATGTTGTGGAGGCATGGCATAAAAAGAGGCAAAAGACCTTTCCTATATACCTACCAACATATGAATAAAGTGCACACACAGCCTCGCACAGATAATTTCAAATTAATTTCTTCGTCCCATTTACACTTTGGCCTCCTGGTAGCAGCTCTATATGACCACTGAAATAAATAGAAGGCTACTTCAAGAACTTACAAGTCTGCTAAAAAAAGGACTTGAGATCCTTCACTGAGAGCCTACATAAAAGGAAATCTCAAACGCACTTACTTCAAGCACTTTCTTTTCCATCAATCCCAACCAACAAAATCAAATAAACACAGGACTCACCTAAGGATTGAAGCAGTTTCTAACATTTCAGCCATGAAAGTAGACACGCCTTTCAGCTGACTGTCTCCAGCTCCCACCCGAGCCAGGATGCAATCCACAATGCTTATTTCTGCAGAGTCACACGGTACAAAACACCCGATTTGGGCCATAAGAACGATCACCCCTGTCTGTCGGATGTACGTTGACTTTCCCCCCATGTTAGGGCCTGAAGAAGAAGTTTTGCAAATGGATTAAAACACCATCATCTTTTACAATTCAACAGTTCTTTTCAAGGCGAACAGACTCTACATTAAAACAAAGAACGTTTAACTTATTACTCTCTTGCCAAGAAAGAGTAGCAGACTTGCCTAACAGGTGCAACAAGTAGCTCCACTACTACTAAGACTCGCTTTTATGTCTTACTGAACGCTGCTTTTTCAAAAGAAGGTGATGAGAGGGCGTTAGTGGCTTCCTAAGTTTTGGGACTTATCAGAAGTATAAGCAGCCATTGAAAACACAAGTCCTTACCTAAAATTAATAAACTTTAAGTTAAAAGTCATCACTATTGCTGCTTAAGAACGAAAACAATTTGCTTTCAACTTAAACAACAATTATAATTTGCCTATAAAAATGAAATAGCTTAGTTACAGATCGGGTACAAGCTAATGGGTGATTAAAATTACAATCTAAAGCGATTCTGAATCAGTAAAAATAGATATTAAGAAGTTAATTTTAACTGAAATACAAATTAAATAAAAAGTGTTTTCCAGAAAACTGATCATTAAAACCAATTTTTTGTTTTTGCTAACCAGAAAAACAAGCGTATTACCATGTATTTATTCAGATTTTTAGTTTTTCTTCTTGATTATGTTAGAAGTGTTCATTAATCATTCTCTAATTTCAGATCTTTGCTACTCAGAATGTATGTCAAGGACATCTGGATGGAAATTTAAATTCAATTAAATGTATAAACACTAAAAATGTTTTCCTGTGTAGCAAAATTATCGTAATTACACCAAAGAATAGGAGGAAAAAAGGGTACAGTCATTAAAACATGTTTTGCATTTAAAATTTACTTTAATACTAAACAAAGAAAACATTAACAAAGAGGCTGCTTAAAACCTCGCCTACAGAGGGTGCTTCTGTGGCTACAGTACAATTGATGCCTAGTGGAATTTTCCAAAACACTTAAGCAGGTTCAGGTTCTTCAGCTCCTGAGGTTGCCTGGCTTGTGGAGTTACATTCATTAACGCAAAGTATACATATATTAAGGAAGGACTAATTTCTTATTTCCTACTGTCCTAGCAGCCTCTTTCTTCTTCCCAAATGACTATTTCTAAATAGTCGTTCTCCAAATAGTGCACTATAACTACCATCATAACATCTAATTCCATGACTATTAGTTTAGAACATGAGAAATAGGCCTGCATGTGCATAAGCATGTAGAACATCCACTATCAAAGGGAATATTTCACAACAACATTGTGGACACTTCTTTTTTTTACTATAATAAACAACAATACCTTACAAATACCCTCCCTTCTTTTCAAGAGCTAAATCTTATCCCTCATACAGAAAGATGAATAACTGGCTAGCTGCTCACCATTTGTTGATTACAGAAATTGTTCTGATTATGGGGTTGTTGGTTTGTTTGCTTTTGGTTTTGTTTTTTGGTGTTGTGGGGTTTTTTTTAAAAGACATCATTATTGGAAATACTCAAGACATTTAAAACGTAAATAACAAATGAAAACAGATAACAGAAACGTTTACCAGTAATAATGTGGAACATCTGCTTGCCCTTCTCGAACATAATGTCATTGGGGATGAAGGCCACCTCATCTTGCACTTCGATGCAAGGATGCCTGGCACCTTTCAGCACAATCCTTCCTTGTCCCTTTTCCAGAATGACAGGACGGACATACGGCACTGGTGCTCCGTTTGACACATGCGCAAAACTGACAATTGCATCTAATTGAGCTATCACATCATTCATCGTCTGTATTGGTTCTGCATAACCTGTTTTTTTATTGGAGAGATATAAATTCAACAGTTAGAATTTTTTTTGTTCTTGCTGAAAAGGTATCTTAAAGCCTATACTGAGCCCATGAAATTAATTCACCTGCATTAAAAGTCAATTTTGTTCAAGACAGCAGTCACCTTCTGTGAGAGTCTAAGACATAATCCTAAAGTTTCCATGCTTTGTCTACAAAGGGGACTTCTTCAGACTAGGATGATTGTTTCACCTTAACATTAGACAACAACAAACAGCTTATCTTAGTACAGGAAGGCCAATGCTCACCATGGCAAGATGGCTGGAAATCCAGTAAGTTTCCTTCCTCAATAAGACACTGCATTTTGGTGCTCTCGCAAGCAAAGACAACAGAGACACAGCACTGACAATTCAGACACAGTAACCATTTATGTTTATGTGAATGACAGTATGGAGAGGTCTGTAAGACACAGCACCTGTGATACCAGGCAACTAGATTAGATGGCCTGGGATCCTCAGTACCAGTTGTTAAGTTGTGGTGGGTTTTTTTCAGTGAAAAGGATGAGGGTCAGCAGTCTACAGAGGTAAACCATCTAACACCTGCAAATGGGATCCATGTGTCAGAAAAGGTGAGCAGTGACCTGTAGAAAGAGTCCTACCTGTACAAAGCACGTTTACTGTTCTTACATCATCTCTTTAACTGGCTAGGTATAGATCATTAAGAGCACCTTCTGTTACTTTCATTCAAGAAGCACACATAATCCAGTCTTTTTCATTAAATTGCATCCACTTGGGAAGAAAAATGCTTTTTAAATATGCATATACACTTCTAAGTCTATGACTGCACACCACAGAAGCTTTAAGCAGCAGCAAAATACTTTCTTAAAAATACTAGGTATTTGTAGATGACATATTGAAGCCAATCCCACTATGTAATACCCGATTATCTTTCCACATAAATATATAAACCTTAGTATGCTACACACAAAAAACACCCCTTGAAAATTACCAAGATGCAAAAAATAAAATCTAATAAGCTACTGATTTTGCAATATACTGGCAAACTCCTTATCATGACAACAGGTTAAAGCTTATGAAGATTTCCACCGTAACTTAATACACAGTCAAATACATTAATACATCAGCTTAAAAAGTGCTTTTTTTAATCTTTAATACATTTATTCGTAGCTTAATATTCATTAGTGCTTTCACTTTCCACTTCTCTCTTTCAAAGAACTAAGGTTTGTTCTGCTGGAACGAGTGCCTTTGGGAGAGGCAATATTTACAGAATTCTCCAGTCCAAATTTCCTGATGTCTCTTCTGCTTTTAGTGAAGGACAGTAAAGAGTACCCTGTAAGGAGGCAATCTTGGAGCAAAATATATGGAAGTTAATTAGGAAAACAGTAATTTTTTATTGTACCATGTAAGCGATGACTAACTTGATCTTATACTGCATATCAGCATTCTTTCTTCGCCATCCTTCTCGGGCCTCAGGTCCCACTCCCTCAGTTCTCTGTTGTCCTTTACCTGCCTTCTGCTTTGTCTGCCGTTTGGGTGGAGATGCCCACAGCCAGGGAGGCAGGTGGAGAACAGATGTGGACTCTATGGGCATATTTTTCTCCCTTTTATGGGATTAGCATTTACATGCATCCCATCATTGCACATATGTAGCAATGCCAGGAATGAGTCTATATCACAGGAGGCAACATATTTCAAACTTTTAACAACTGTCTGAACGCCAAATCTCATTTTTCACACTAATTCTTTGGGGAACATTACGGTTCTTCTCTATAGAAGGATCCACAAATAACTGCAAGTCCTCCCAGCATTCCAGACTTTGATACACATCAAGATTGACATATTCACCTGAAGCAATGTTAATGATTTCCTTAACAATTGCATCCTGAGCCTCTTCATACTCTTCTCTGTTCTTTATATATTCATCATTGACGGAGCTCAGTTTGCTGTGAACAAAACCACAATATTTTAGAAGCTGTGATGTTCTGTCTTCATTGCTGCAATGTCAAACTTCTGGCCCCTTCACCTGAGTCAAAGCCAGCTGTTCCCACCTGTTTTAACAGCAACATTCAGCACACGAACCACAAAGCAACAAATCTACAATTCACCCACACCAGGAGATCAGTAAGATTAATTCCAAGTTGAATATCACCCACAAGGGCCAAACCAGGAATTCTAGCATCTCTAAACATACCATTCTTAAAAATCTAACAGTAGCTGTTTGTTGTAGACACGCTATGTGATAAGGACTTGCTCTTAAAGCTGAATTTCTGGCCATTTTGCAACAAGATGTGGCATGCTATAGAACTGGCAGAGGAGAGTTGCTGCTAAGCAACTGTGTAATTAGCCCGGAGTCCTAAAACAGACTTATCAGAGTTGAAGGCATTGACCTCTTTCATTTAGTAAAAACCTCAGTGAACCACTGTCACTAAGAACAGGTTCTAGTCTTCAAAATGAGGTAAGCTGAAATCAAGAGAGAGTGTTTATTCTTCTCAAGCTTATCTCCAAACACAGAGCAGAGTCTGCAGGACTGAATATGAAACACACCCAAGTAGTGCACCCACACTAAAAGCAGAGGTCATCCTTGTGCTTCATCTACAGAAGCAACTGTAACTTAACTAAGCACAAAGAAGTCTGTTTTATTAGTGATCCGCAGGCTTCTTCCCTAAGGGAAAGTAACAGATGACACTTACAGTAGAGGTTCCAAGAACCATCTTCTCACTTACAGAAAAGCCTAACTTCATCATTACGTTTAGATACATAACATATTTAGAACAAAAAAAAAAAAAAAGCTGTTTTAAATTTCAGGGATGTTTTGAAAAAATATCCTCTCAGTAGATGTTAAAATAAAATGCAATTAAGGTTTACACTTTGTTCATTTAAGTAAATTTGTGTGAAATACACCGACATATTGGTTAGCATGAACCAATATGTTTGCCCTCCTTTCAAAGCTGAAGATTTATTACTTATGAAAGTGAGTGATTAACAGAAACAGTCACTATTAATAATAGCACTGGCTTTAAACCAACTTTGCCTTGTAGGCAGTGCTCCTCATACACGTCTGTCAATCAAGATCTCTCTCAACAAACTCACTTCTCTGATGCTAACTCCAGCAGGAACTGTTACCCATAAAACAACCGCAGTATGGTTTGTCTGAAACAGACTGTATGATGTATTAATCTCTGCTATTTTTACCCTTCTGTACATAAGACATGCAGGAGACTTAAATCATAGAATGGTTAGGGCTGGAAAGGACCTTCAAAGGTCATCTAGTCCAACCCCCCTGCAAGGAATAGGGATATCTCCAACTAGATCAGGTTGCTCAGGGCCTCATCCAACCTGGCCTTGAACGTCTCCAGGGATGGAGCATCCACCACCTCTCTGGGCAACCTGTTCCAGTGTTCTACAACTCTCATGGTAAAAAATTTTTTCCTAATATCCAACCTGAATCTACCTCCCTCTATTTTAAAACCATTACCCCTTGTCCTATCACAACAGGCCCTCCTGAACAGCCTCTCCCCATCTTTCCTGTAGGCCCCCTTGAGGTACTGGAAGACCGCTATAAGGTCACCCCGGAGCCTCCTCTTCTCCAGGCTGAACAGCCCCAACTCTTTCAGCCTGTCCTCATAGGAAAGGTGCTCCAGCCCTCTTATCATCTTCGTGGCCCTCCTCTGGACCCTCTCCAACTGGTCCATGTCCTTCTTATGTTGGGGGCTCCAGAACTGGACGCAGTACTCCAGGTGAGGTCTCACGAGGGCAGAGTAGAGGGGAAGAATCACCTCTCTCGACCTGCTGGCCACGCTCCTCTTGATGCAGCCCAGGATGCGGTTGGCCTTCTGGGCCGCAAGAGCACATTGCCGGCTCATATTGAGCTTCTCATCCACCAGTACTCCCAAGTCTTTCTCCTCAGGGCTGCTCTTGATCCATTC